AATTGCTAATGGCTTCTCCTCGGTGTATCCAGGGGATACCTTTCCAAAAGCAGAAAAATGTGGATTACATGGCTTTGGAAGAAAAAAACCCTTAAATATGACCGTAGTGTACAGCTTCTGCCCCTCCCCAGGCAAGCTGTGCTGGGGCCGACGGGGTCAGCTAAGCTACTCAGGGGCTTTACTCAGAAGAGGGTGTAAGAATATCCTCCCCTTTCTCTGGGTCCTCTCACATGCTGGGATTTGCGTGTGCAACGGCAGCTGTCCAGGGCCCACACCTACCCCACTGGACAAATCAGGCCAATGATAGGGATGCTACCTACATTTTGTAATATATATATATATATATATATGTATACATATATAATATATACATATATATTTTTTCCAACTAGTACAGTACAAACTATTTCTGAATTAATTCATCCAGGAGCTGGAGGTTAATGCTGGAATCTATCTGAACTCTATAAACTTTGCGTTTTCTTTCTCTCCCCCTCGAGCTGAAGCAAATTTTGAGTGAGTTTGTGGCTTGCAAAGCACAGCTGTCCAGTAGCTTTTGAAGAATTGCACTTGGAGTAATTCAAGTTTCTGCAGTTCAAATATATGTACCCTGCTTTTCCTGATGCTCATGCGTGTACCAGCATAACTTAAAAAAACAAAACAAAAAAAAACCAACACAAAAAAGCCTGACCACAGTGTAAAAGTTAAACTTTTCCTCTGGAAAATGTAACCGGAGGTCTGCAGAAAACAGCCCAGTTGAAGGTTAAATAAATAAATAAGAAATGAAACTTCTCAGAACCTTTCAAAATGCAGCATGGATTGGGGTAAGGCTGTAAGGGGCGGTTTAATCCGATGCCTTCATTGCGGAGGTACTTCCATCAGTCCTATTTGCTCCACTGCCTTTGCTGACATCGCGCAGGAAGGGTGCTTCATTAATGTCTGTCTCTCCATATGGAAGACTGAGCCACTTTTAGTGCCTTCTAGACAGGACTGGTTTTGCAGATCCATAGCTGAGTTAATGTTTGCATGGGTCTGAAAAGATGCCAAGTGCCACAAGAGCTTATCCTACCACCTAGAAATCCCACCTGCCTCCAGGAAGCAAGTATTTCCTCCCAAGGGCATTTGCTGCTGTTTAATACTATTAGTTCTGCCGGGTAGGAAATCCCAGAGGACAAGTGTTATTTTAAGGCAAGACGTCTGTCCATCTGTACATCTACATGATGCTTCTGAACCTCAGATTAGATTTAATGCACCAGTCCCTTATCAACGGGGCTAACGGTGTTTCCAGGACAAGCAACTTGGCAAGATGCTCAGTTGTGAGTGATGATTTAAACAGCCTTTGACATTTCAAATACACTTCATGGTGCAGGTATGGACACACGTAGCTGTTTCCTCGATGGAAGTTAATGTCTGTCGGTATGGCCGCTCAGCCGCCCTCTCCTGCTCCTTTGCAAAGGGGCTTATCTCCAGCACCCAAAAGCATTTGTTCGTCTTCAGCACTGATCCGAAAGCTGCTGAAGAGCTGGGTGCTGCTCAGCTTTGGCTCTGGGGTGGGTCTTTTTTGCATGCATGAGTTTGGATACTCCATCCTCACCAGGCATGACCACAGCACTGGAGACACGCATCATGTGATAGCCACCAGGCACAGTACCAAAGCCATCCCACCCCCCCCAACCCACCCCCGAGTATTTAATGAATAATATAATAAAAAGCTCATTACAAAACCTAGGAGTACTACAAATATTTCCAGTATTTCTTTTAAAGACAAAATTGTTCTGCTGCCGGGTTTACAATCCAATGACTGCTATGTTGGATTTAGTGTAAGAGAATTTAACAGCAAAACTGATTTTTTTTGGAAGCTTCCTACTTTGTGCGGCTTCTGGAAAAATTGGAGCTGTAAAGTCACATTAGTGAGAATCCAAGCATAATCTGTAACAAAAGTAAGGCAATTTTGTGTTTTTTAAAAAAAAGGGACTTCAAGCTGAAAATATCCATTTAACTGCCAGTAGATGGCAAAAATATCCCGTATTTGTCTTCATTACTTAAAATGATTAGTACAAAAGGCTTAATGTGTTGTTCTCTTCCTTGCTTCTCATAGAAACTTGCAGAAAGTATAAATTAAAGTGCAACCATACAAAAAAACCTAGCAAAAAACCTCAGTGGGTTATAAGAAGCTATCAAAAAGATGGATTAAATTTATTTTTTTTTAAAGTTGAATGACCTGGGACGAGCAAAAGTTCTCCTTTGCTTTGTTTCTTATAACAAAACTGCAAAAAAAGAAAAAAAGAAAAAGGAAAAAAAAAAACACCAAGGATTTTTTTTGGCAAAGTTTTCATAAAGCATTTGTTCCTTGACTGATTAGACTATTATGCTCCTTTGCAATCAAGTAAATGGAATTAAATACCATAGCAAAGCCAAGCAGATGCCAACGCTGCCCATTAGATTAAGCCTGTGTAATAAAAAATAATAGTTAAACAAAGAAGTCACACATGCATTAGAGTCTACCCTTGAATAACAAGAATTTAACCTTAAAAAACCCCATAGATTGTCTTAAAAAATAAAATCCTATCCTTCAGATAGCCAGTAGTAAAGAAACAGTAAAACTCTGAATTGAGCTATCCCTGCCTTATCAGCGGAGGTCCCAGTCCGGTGAGCAGCAGCGGGACAGGAGAGCCCTTCGGCATGAAAAGCAAGTCTCCAGCAGCGTGAAGCCGCGAGCAGGGAAGGCAGGGAAGGCAGATTTGGCAGCGATTTTGGGGTGGTGACAACAGGCTAAGGCTTCCTATGGGAAAGGTGAGAGGTAAATGCTTCGGAGCTGGGCGATGCTGCCGGCTCTCACTTGGCAGTGATGATCCCCCCCCTTGGGTGAAGCATGGGCAAAGGGATGGGGGTTTGGGTGGCTCATCAGTATCCTGCCCTCCGTCGGTGGCTCATCCGAATCCTGCCTGGGATTCAGCCCCTGGAGCTGGCGGTGAGGCAGGGGAGGGTGAGCAGGTTGGAGCGGGGTGATAATTATGGGCTGAAAAAACGGCAAGCAGCCTTCAGCTCTGGATGTGGTGAGCAGGTCAGTGCTATCTGGGACTGTCAGATGCAGGAAATAAAACACCTTACGGGACACTCCTCAGCAAAGACTTGACACGTGGAAGCTTTCCCACGGCACGTTTGCAACAGGACCTTTGCACATCCCACCTTCCCTCCCCATCTTTAGCAGGGGCAAAAAAACAGAGGGTAGGGATGGCATATTGCACTAGTGCAGAAGCATCTCAGCAGCTGCTAGTTTTAGGAGGAAAATGTTACCAGAGGCCAGCAGCCCCACCCGGGTGCGAACACCGCAGAGCTATTTCACTACCCCTCCACTCTGTTTCACAGAGCTCCTGGCCAACCCCTCTGACCTGGCTCAGCCCATCCTGCCCCTGCTCTGCACAGCAAAGGGGATACAACATCAGCCTCACTGCATGCTACCGACATCGCAGAAAGCTTAGCCGTGGCTCCATTAACTCAGGATGAACCAGGGGGGAGGTGTTTTCCAAAAGCTCAGTAATACATTTGCTACTCTACAGCCATGTCAGCGTTTCCCATTCAGTTCACTAAGAAAAAAAAAAGGGTATTGGATACATTTCACCACCTGTGAAATGAAGTTATTCTTAATTTCCTCAGTGCCTTGTTAGAGGGGAGTATGTTTTGGATCTGGAATTGGCCATGTATCACAGGCTATGGAGCGGTGAGGGCAGAGGAGGAACGAAGCAGAAGAAACAAGGAACGGACAAGCCAGACCAGATCCTCACAGTGCAATACCATGTGCAGACGGACCGGTGCCTCGGTGCCGCCCGTCAGCGAGCCAGGGCCATGATGAGGCTGGCGCACATCTCAAAGAAGTCCATGGTGTGGCTCCCCAGGCGCGGCGTCACTGATGGGATGCTGCCGACGAAGGAGCCGCTCAGGGAGCCCATCAGCGACTGGCACTCGGTGGCTGCGGCAGCATCGATGCTCAGCCTCGGTCGGTGCAAGCCAGCAGCAGAGCAGGAGCGCTGTGGCGTGGAAGAGCCGGATCTCTGCTCCATCACATCATCTGGAATATAGAAAAAAAAGAAAAAAGAAAAAAGTGGCATTAGTTTGGCATCTGCAAGGCATGTTTGGTAAGGAACTAGTAATAGTTGTGGAGACAAATGGATCAAATGGGCTTTCACTGACTTGAAACAGCTGCATAAGCATTTCAAAATGCAACGAATGGTTTTTAAATATATATTTTTTTTTAAACTTCCAGATTTGCCATTATACGTGTTTTCCAACTCATGCTGCACCATTTCCAGCTTACCATCTATGCTTTTGAAGTCCAAGAGATAGCTGCGGTTGTCAACCTGGTAGAGCTGCAGGCTCATCTTCACGTAATTGCCTGTCACCGGGTTCTTGCGGCGCACTCTGAGGTGGTAGGAGTTCACCACCTGCAATGGGAAACTTGCTTTGAGGAGCAAGATTCAAAGCGGCAAGAAGAACATTTCTTTCATTATTTTTTCCTAAATACTAGCAAAACGTCTTCTGAAAAATACACAGTTTCTAGAAACAATGCCTACAAAATTAAGCAAACAGCTTCATATCTTATTTCCTTGTCTTTAAAAGCGCTTCTGATTCACCAGCTGCTGCAGATGAAGCTGCCATGACCCATCTGTCAGGCACCAAGTTGATGTTTGCTCCTTCCTCACCAGCAGCAGTGACCATATGAGACAAATAGTCCACTCACGGAACCACGTACAAGGACTGTGCCCGCGAAACCAGGGCAGGCTGGGCAGCTGGAGAGAGTAACCTCTCCCATCGTCACAGCTAAATTCAGTGTTCATGAATCAGCCTCGAGCTGTGTATTTTCTCTTGCTGCTTCCCACCCCACAATCTGTTGCATCTCATTTGCAATGAGAGCTTTTCTCTGTGCTATATTTACGAAGCAATTGCGCGGATGGGAGAACTATTTCGACGAAGAGTCACATCTGAAGCTATTCTTAGGGTGGGAAAGACTATTGTGAAACCTCTTCGTACAAAATAAGCTCCACTGCCTACATGAAGACGTTGGGCTGACTTGGTTTGTGAAGCTGTACCAAAAATATATCAGATTTGTTCGCTCTCTGTAAAACCGTGCAGCTAACAAATGTCTGGCTGGTGTAAGCATATACATCTGGAGACAGTCCATCTCCTGGCTGGTGCAGCAAAATCAGGTTTCTGGGCCCTACTTGGCTTTAAATACATCATATCATCAAAAATAAGCAGGAGATAGGAGGCTTTGAAGAAGCAGCACAGGGACATTCACACCGTACAACCCTTGGGACCTGGAGTGAGGAGTGTATCACCTCTGCTGATGAAGACCTGGGCTGAAATTCCCACCTTGCTCCTGATGCTCACACAAGCCTGCTGCAAAAGGCCATGAGTCACAAGAGCTCACATCAGTGACTGCACTGAGATTTAGGGAATCAGGCTCAGCAGCAAGTATTAAGCCCTAACTTAGGGATTTATTAATCAGACTTTGAAAAAGACTGTGACTAAATGCTGTGTAGCTCTGAAAATATATCTGAAGTGAGTGCTGTCAACTAAATGTCATCTGGGTTTAAATCAAGCTTCAAGAAGCTGAGCCCTAAATGGGGGAAGCAGTGAGTGTCTGAAAGCACATCTGGTCCACAAGCACCACTCCATCTCCATCGAGGAAAATGCCACCACATCAATGGTATAAGCTCCTGCCCCCAATGCCCCGCTGTCCCTCACGTGTGCATCTTTTAAGAAGATGCATATCACTCCATTTCAGCACACATGGCTGCTAGGACCCAAGCAGAAATAACACGAGTTACTCTGCTCAGGAGAACTCGAGATGACCTCGCAAGGAATTAGCCCCTAAAATTAGAAATGTGACTGGCTCCTCTTATCCCTGCAGCTGAACAAGGCAGAATCACCTTTCCAGTCAGAAGCTTAGAGAATTCAGACAGAAAACTCCTATTTCACGCCATAAATAAACATCACGGATACTGAACCACAGCTACCATCTTAATTCAGTGTGTTTGCATTCATGAGAAATAACAGGGATAATCACAAGCTGTGGGCATTTATTTGGAAACGAGTGAGGCTGTACCCACACTTACTAACCTCGCAGAGCAATTCAGCTCATGAAAAAAAAAAAGACCCTTGAAAACCACCACATTCCCTACCTTCCACTCAAAGTCCAGCTGTTTCATAGCACGGTACACCTCGGCCATAATGTCATAGGGTTTGCTCTGGCTGCGGATTCCCAGGTGCCACTTGGCCTTTTTGACAGTCAGGGGTTTTGGCTTCGTGGTGTTGAGGGCATCCAGAGGGCATCGTGCTTTGGGGCTGTCCGCTACCAACGGCGGCATCCGCTCGGGGTGCGGCTTCACCCCAGGAGGGATGTGCATGGCGCTGTCGTCCATGAAGGAGCCGGTGGGGGGGCTGGAGGCGAGGTAGAACTCACTGGCTTGGTTCATGATCCTCCGGTTGTCGATGACGAGGTGGTAAGCCACCGCCAGCTGGTCCTGAGGGTCACCGCTGTACAGGCTGTTCATCACCTCCGACTCCGTGCATTCAAACTTCTCACAAACTTCCCGAACCGCATCATCGTCGATGACGGTGGCATCGTAAGAAGGATCCTCTGGGAACAGGTAACTGGGCAGCTCCTCCTTAAACCACTCGTGTTCCCTGGGGGAAGGCAGGGAGGAGCCACCGTGAGCTCTGTGGAAGGCAAACTGGTGCAACCACTGCCACCAGTCCCTTGCTTGGCTTAGATAAGACTAATCCTCAGCTGCAGACTGGGGAGTTCGACCCAGCCCTGCACAGTCCCCCCAGTATTGCAACAGCGATGACACTTGGCAAGCAGGGCTGCTTGCTCACTTGGCTTTGAAGTAAGACCTCAGCACTTACGAGATGCTCATGGTTCTTTTTATTACTATGGGTCTGATAGAGATACAGAGCATCAAAGCTATCCACGTACCTGATTCCTACCAATTTACAGTGAAGCCAATGATAATTAAGTGGAAAGTGCCAGAGAGCCTTGTCTATAGGTTCTATATATCAACTGTAATCTCACCACATGTGCTGCTGTAATTAAATCTTCTAGTCTTAAGGAATTAGGAAATAAAAAAGGCGTCTTACTTGAAGGGTAAAATGAAGGCCTTACATTGCAAATGCATTAAAAACCTGAGAACTGAAAGTCCTAGTAACATTTATGTATATGCTTAGCACATCAGCTAGATGTAAGAATTACTATAAATTTCATAAAACGCGTGTCAGCCTCTAGTTTTACAAAATGTTTCTAAAACGGCTCAGACTGTGAGAATTTAAGTCCTACTACCAGCCATGAACTTTTAATGACCTCTGCAGGCACAAATATCTGCTTAAGGGCCCAGTAGTTCCCTTTACCTTGAATTTCCACAGTGATGAATGCAGATAAAAGGTTCATAGACACTGCACTCTGACTAGACACAAAAACTGTGCTGCATTTGAAGATGAACCATTTGCTCACATTTTAAACTACATCTGGTATTTACAGATTAAATTAGCAATTCTTGTGTTTCTCCTCCTTTTTTATTGGATAGACACTGAGTACAATAATTACCCTTTTATTCTGAGCTGGTACATAGATGGAGGTGGTCTTGAAATAAAAGTCATGGAAAATGGCTGGTGGATGTTAGGTTTTTAGGATTATTACATGATACAGCTGGCTTTGCTAAGCACTATTAAAAGATTTTTAAGGCTATTTTATAATGCAATAAAATAGCATTTTATATAAATATAAAATATATATAAAATCATCACCCTGTTCCTCATCACACGCTGCCAGCCAGCAGCACCCACCTCTCCATCAGCACAGAAGGGTGCAGGAGTGCTCCTTGAATCATCTGGGACAGAAGCCAGCTGGATTAGCTGACTACTGTAAATCAGCCCGCCCACCTGCCAGTGGGTGACCCCCAGGACAGCCACTGGAACGCTGGAGCCCCCCGAACACAGCCAGCCCACCCATCCCACCCGAGCTGACCTGATGTCCTTGATGGTTGCTCGCTTGAGGGGGTCAACCTGCAGCATGTGCATGAGGAGAGTGGCAACGGAGCGGTTGAGGTATTCAGGGATGTAAAACACACCTCCTCGGATCTTCTTGAAAAGGGTGGGGACGTGCTCGTCATCGAAAGGCAGAGTGCCACAGAGAAGGGCGTAGAGGATAACGCCACAGCTCCAGATGTCCACCTCCGGGCCAGCGTACAGCCTGTGCAAAGGTAAGAGCAGGAGGAAGGCGTTACCCCCCATCCTTCTCTCCTTAGTTAGGGTGCAGGTCCCACTGGGTAAGCTGGGGAACTGCTGCCAGCTCCATCGGGGCCACAGCTGCAGCCCACCCTGGGGATGCTCAAGCCAATGCCCGCAACCAAAGCTGCCTAAGACAAAAATCACTCAGGGGCAAGGGAAAATGACATAGGAGGGCTGCCCACACTCCTCTGGACAGCCATATACATCACTGCCTCTGCCAGACCTTCCAAAAAGCCAAACCCCACACTTCCAAAAGCTCTGCCAGGCTGTTTAGTCCTTCACCCCAAGGGCTCAGCCAGTAATTTCTATTCATTCAGTGAGGCAGATTAAGCGACAGCAGATACTACATCTCTGAGTGTTTATTTTCGGTTGAAGTTTATGTGCTGGTATGCAAGAGCTCCCGCTTCTGACAAGCTGCTAATGTGCTTCCTGGCATCACCAAGTCGGGACACCCCAAATATATGGGTTTTGCTGCTGCTTGCTTGCTCAACTTGTTTATCTCTTTCTGCTACAACTGATGCTTTCTCAGAGATTTTGGAAGGCAGTGCTTACCCTTGGGCTGTAAAACCCTACCAAAATACGAGGTTGAAATGGAAATACAGAAGTCTCTTCATGAAACCTCAGCATCCTGCACTGGCTCCTCCAGAAAAGCATTGAGGCAGACACACCGGTGTAAAGAAAGCACCAGTCATGCATGCAGCCACTCTCTGAACACAACCAAAACATCAGTTTTTCTTCTCCAAGGGTCAGAATTTCCCTGCTGAGGCCAGGGACAGCAGCAAAACCATTTTGGAAATGCAGATGATTAGCTAGATGTCCCCTTGGACCTGCTTCCATGCCCGATTCCAAGAGATAGGAAGCCTGATTCTTTTACTGATAACTGCATTGCCTGAACAAATTGATTGGATTTTTTAAGCCCAAACGAGATGCACTTTTATGACTCTGAAACCTGAGCTGTCATGCTCTACTGCTTTTGTGCTGTACCCAGCAAAGGCAGCCGGAGCCAGGAGCTCAGTGCTGCCCTGCACACCCAGCACCAAGGCATTCATCCCACTGCTGGCACAGCAGACCGTGCCTCTCCCCCACAAACACAGCTCTTACACGCTGCTATAGCTCTGAGGACAGCCTGGCATCTTAATCAGGGGTATCAAACTCAAGCATCACCGATACTGTAAGCGGTACTGATGCAGGAGGGCTGCAGCAGCAGGCAGTGCAACATGTAGGCTTGGTTTTGGTTTTCTCTCCTACTTTTGTGGTTAATAAGCTGTATCGCCTGTACCCTTGGAACAATCAGTTTCTGCATACAGGGACTAAATCCTTCTTGTTAATCTGCCATGTGCCTCGTCTCCTATACAAACAGAAAAAAATGTGCTTCTGGCCTTTTCAGTAAAGTACATGGAAATAATATTTTTTTGGAATCACAGTATTGTTCCTGGCTTTGTCCCCCTCTTGACAATGAGGATTTACTTGCTTTCGCATGTGGAGCTGTAGTCACAACAGGGTTTTTGGATGCTGGTCTAATTCCTAGGATACTCTGCCAACACTCACACTGGTGTAAACAGGGATAAAATAATCATAATCACAGCAAATACACTTTGAATAAAATGTTGTATTTAAAAACTACAGTTATAGGCACAAATATGCTGGACTAGGAAAACTAATGCTCATGCAAAGGGCGATTCAAAAATATGGGGCAAATAACAAGATGGGTAATGTGAAGGGCCATACAAAGGACTGGAAGTTTGAAAAACTGTATTTGCAATCCTTACTATGCTATTGTGGAGAGAGTTAGAATAAGTACATTCTATGCAACTTAGGTTCCTGACAGTAAAATATAGGAGGTAACACTTCTGTATCAACATGGAAAAGCCCAAGTCAGCCTTTGCAGAGTGCATTCAACATGCCATGTGTTGTACAGATGTTGTACGCCCAGAGATGCAACTGCACTGGAGGTTTGTCAATTCAATTCATCAATTCAAAACAAAGTTAAGATGGTTGAACCTACTGCCACAAACAAAATCCCTAGCTTAAGGAACGAGAAGACAAGTATTTTCAGTGCAAGAGTTCAGCAGTGCAGGGAAGTGATTAAAGGTCTTCCTGATTCCTCTGTAGCAAATGGTTTTCCTCATTAACACTGTTTTATACTATAGGTGGGCAGGAGAGCAGGCAGTGGCCTGGAAAAGCCTTTCCATCTGAAACCTCAGTATTTGTATCCAAAGAGTAATTTTCACCCTCTTTAATTAGCAATATAAGCAGTCAACATCTGCTATCAATAATTCCTCCAAAGTAAACATCTTTAGAAAAACATGGTTTACTATTACAGCTATTGAGAAATGTAATAACCAAGAAAACTTTCGGATTTCTGCCAGCAGATTCACCCAGACATAAAATACAGGCTGGAAGGATTCAGCTGCTTTTACTAGATGTGCAAAGCTGTTTCCAATCCCATGAACAAATTTAAAGACCATGTGCTCACGTATAGGTTCTGATTAGAAGTGGAATGTCCTACCTTCCAGAGATGACTTCAGGGGCGGCATAATTTGGGGAACCACAGCTGGTGCGTAGAAACTCGCCATCTGACATCATGTTGGACAACCCTAAAAACAAGACGTTTACTACATATTGACGCTTGATGTGAAGGTCCAGCTACAGTGGATGCCCGTGTCACACACGGGAGGAGACATATAGCAAGTGGAGCAGAACTGCTGACACAATTTAGACAGACTCCTTTGAGCTGATTTGCAAATAATAACTACTGTTATTATTGTTATTATTTTCACATCCAACCAAGGAATATTCACTCTAGTCTAATTTCGCTTCTTTAAATTGCAAATCCCAGAGCACAGAGGAAAAGAGACATAATTCATCCCAGAGCACCTACTTTATATGGGAATTGCGTGGGGTTATAAAATTAGTAATCTTCAAAAGAATTCATCAGAAGGAACTTTATGCCAGAAAAGACTCACAGGGACCAAGCAGGTAGCCCAGCTATTTCAATGGATTTCAATCAGTAATGCCACTTAAAGACTCCTGTTACTGCTCATTTATGAGATGAAGTGAGGCCAAGAGTACATGGCCAAATGTACAGAGAACACACGTGAAAATAAACACACACAGCCAGCTCACCCTGGAATTGACTGCACCGAGTCTGTCTTAAACATAAATTAGCTAAATCTTTATAGTAGGTGATTATACTAAAACATAGTGAAGATTTGCAAATTACTTTGCTGCTCCATTCTTAATGCCAGCACAGAAGCAGCTTACAATAAGTAATCCCTGCTTTTGCAAAAAGGTCGGTGTTTATAACTGTGGGCTTTTCAGGTAAAGCAACGGCTAGTGGTTAGGAAAACAGGCTCGGGGTTTTTAAGGCATGTTACACAGACACGCTCCAGCAAGCGCCTCGGAGCTGGCTGCATTTCTGGAATGCTGCTGGGGTCACATACCAAAATCAGCTATCTTTGCGTTCATGTGCGCGTCCAGCAGCACGTTCTCCGGTTTCAGGTCTCGGTGGACAACCATGTGTCTGTGGCAGTAATCCACCGCGGAGAGAATCTGCTGGAAAAGGCGTCGAGCTTCTGCCTCTTCAACCTATGGGTGCAAGGGGAAATAGTCCTGAAGGTTGGTCTGCGTGCAGAGCTGGCAAGGGAAGGTTTGACTTAGCAAGGAGCCAAAATGTTCCAGGGTGCAGAGAGAAGATTATAGCATGCTTGTGACCAGAAGCAGCAAATAAAGCAGATTTCCCCCCTTGCGTTATATAATGTGCTAGTGTTTGTAAATGACAGAGCCAAGAGATGAAATTAGAAACCTAAATTTACCTGAGCTATCAAGATGAACTTATTGGTGGCACCTACGAGGCCATGGCTTGCTGTCCCAATGGGACCACTTCTGCTACACAGCACAAACAGACCAAGGCTGGACAAAACACCACAGAGGATGCTGCAGGGAGCAATTCCTCATGGACAGATGGCTTCAGAAAAAAAAAACTAAAGGTGGAATATTGTGATTATTTTAATTAGCAATATAGCTATGTTAGCTATAAAGTTGTCTGAGCTATATTAGAGAAATTATCGTTAAAATGATGTGGAGACTGATTATTTTTACTGATGACTTCATGAAAAACCTAGTTTCTGAACGCAAAAGTTCAGAAAGGATCCAAACTAGTCACTGAAAAGATCCATATGGGTAAAATGTGCTGGAAATCAGAAATGTACATAAAAAGTAAATGGAGTCAGCTCCATCGACCACTGAGCTAATCTAAAGCAATTTATTGTAAATGTATTGATTTTTGCAGTACAGAAAGGAAACATGTGATGGACTGATCCTTCACCTGAAGCATTATTCTGTATGTCCACTTCAGCCTGGTTTTGTCTCCTTGCCCTGCAATTGCTCCCTGCCTACGAGGATGTCCACAGGGCAGACACTAGTGTTTTTCTTTGTAACCGTAATATCACATTTCACGGGCTCAACCTATGCCTCAGGTGATTTATACCCAGCAGGATTACTGGCACTTGAAAATGTTGTTTAGATAAGCCACATCCCTAAAAAAGTCTTCAAAAAAACGATGTGGAGCCAAGGGGAAGTCTGAGGGAGGTAAATGACTGGCATGGAGACCACACTGAGTGGTCTTCCCCTCCAATGCCGTAAATTTGCTGGTGAATCACGGGGCTTTTAACAGGCAATACATAGCTGACAATTATAAAGATATGCTAATTTTCAAAGTATTTGCACTGAGCAACACGTTACCTTGGATATTTTAGTTTGTGTATCAAAATGCATCAGAGAACACTGCAAATTGCACGCAACTTTTGTGCGAGCCACGTACAAGACACTCCAGATGGGATTGCTGTGAAGCAACTTCTATTTTGGGCCTTAACCTTAACTGCGTTCCTTTTAGCAGTCATTTTGCTTCTAAACACCATCGTCTTCCCACACAAGTGTTTGGGCTGACACAGTACTGGCACTTACACGTCCATGCTTACAGATGTAATCAAATAATTCACCACCAGATACGTATTCCATAACCATGAAGAAGTCTGTTGGCGTGCTGATGACCTGGTACCTTCAAAAACACAAGTGTATTTAGAAAAAGAAGTAATTAAGAACAGGGAAAGTCTTTTAAACAGATTATTAGCTTCACATCAACCCTCAAAATAAGCATCTGTTTGGATCTTGCATTTATAATTGCCTTCCACTTCTGAAAAGCCATCTCTTATTTCGAGTATAATCTTTCACTTGTCTATGAAAGGATCTCTTTTACAGACCTACGGTTTTCCTTCAAGCTTTTAAATAATCTTCTGAAATCTCTGCCAGACAATCCTATCACATTTAGGACTGTCCTGACTTTCAAATTTCCATTTTGGCTAAGATCTGCAACAACAGCTTTAGAAAAGAAGACTTCCTTAGCTAGGGGCAGGGAGGGGGTATATTTGGTTTCCCTCCTATCAAGGATAAAGAAGATAAAGAACTCTAGACACTAGAGGGAGCTCCTTTTGGTAAGGTATAGAAACAAAGACAAGCACCCCAAAAAGTTATTTTTTCAAATGTAAAATCTCTCTATATTTGAGAATAGACGGGGAAAAAAGAAAAAAAAAAAAAAAAAAAGATTATCACCCTTGACTTGCAAATTTATTCTCCATTTTCATTCAAAATGATCCTTGAGCGCTGCAAGGGCATTTCAGTGTCCCAGCTGGTATAAACTGCCAGTCATCAGCCAAGGCCAATGCAGCTACAGGAATTCATACCAGCACCAGCTGAGACCCCACTCTGTTTTATTTCAGGTATATTGTTGCTTGCTTTTTTATTTTACAGTTGAATTTCCATGGGTTGCAATTTGAAACAAACAGATTTCAAACAATTTTCAGAGATCAGCAAACGAACATGAGATAGTCTCATAAAGTTCAATAGGATTGACCTAATTTTTCTGAATTGGACTCAGACATCTAAGTTATTGCTAACTGTGCCACCACTTCTTTTATATACATGTGTATATATATATATATATATATAAAAAATATATATACAAAAAGCTATTGAAAGGTGAGGTTTATGTACCATGGTCGTCTACTCACCTCTTTTCTTAATCACTGTATTTCATGATTACAGTATGTACCACAGGACAGTGATATCATTAAACTGGGTTTAATTTTTAGGCTTTAATACTTTGACAAATGGGTGAACAGGACTTGCAGGATGCTGGGTACACAGCTGAGGACTCTTGCTGGCTTTTTAGTGAAATAATACCAATCTGTTCTCCAATAAATCCATGGAACTGTGAAGTTACTCTAAAGTCAACAGTGGCTACATGGTTAGTTATTTAACTGTAGAGAGAATTTGTTTTCCCTTGCCTCTAAGTCCCAGGTATTTGCTATATCTCATGCCAGTTTTAAGGCTGACCTAAATGTCAACTTACCCTTGCAGTTACCATTCAACAGCTTTCTTTTACAGAAATGCCAAAGATATTATCAAGTACCTCATTAATGTGGACTGGCTGCACAAACTGGGGATTGAGAAGGAATCCCAGAGGCTGGAGTGCAGGTGCTGATTTACAACTTAAATTCAGGTTCATCAGAGTGGCAACTTTGAAAACATATGTCTGAATAATAAATTTTTTAAAATGTTCCTTTAAGCTCTGGATAATCAGGCCATTAAAACATAAATCCCGTTGACTTCAGGCCAAGGCTTCACTCTACAAGCCTGACCGCGCTGCAATTCCTCAGGCACAGTTCTCAGCAGCTTTAAGTCTGGAGATACAAAGCCTAAAAAGGGTCATCACAAAATCTCCTAATAGCACCCCAGCGCAGGAAAGCACAGACCCTCTCTACGTGCCTTTATAATGGCCTCCACACGGAACAGAGGACAGCTTGGACAGGTTTAGCTGAGCAAAACTTGGTGCAGGAACATCCATCTGCTGGTTGTTACAATAACTCAGACTCCCAATGGAAGGAACATCTTCCATCATTTCTCAAAGTGTCAGCTGTGTTCGCCCATAAGTTACTGGGAGACTCTTGAAAAGCAACGTTTGGCTCTAACATGCAAAAATTTGACCCAACGTTTCCTACTACTCTAAGCCATCTCCTGAAACCAAGTCAACTGTGTACGTGAAGTCTTTGCAGACAGACTGCTGAACACAAGTTTGATAATACTTACAGTTTGATAATATGAGGGTGTCGGAAGAGTTTAAGGTTTTGAATTTCTCGTTTGATCTTCCCAACCACATCCAGGCTGCGTATTTTCTGTCTGTTGAGTATTTTTACTGCTACTTTGTGCCCCGTCAGCTGGTGTTCACCAACTATTAGAAAGAAAGCATTGCAAAGTCATTAAACAGAGTAGCAAGATTCATACCAGCAATTTTAGGACACTGTGATTTAAAAGCAAAAAGCAACTCTTGAAGGGAAAAAAAACCCCAAAAGACAAGCGGGTGAAATATTGTAAACTTGGTTTTGTCTCCACTTTCTTGTTTTCCCAGTGGCGTCGGGGGAGACAGAAGAGAGGGGACTTATCTGTAAAAAACAGTCAAGTAAATAAAACAGAGTGAGTTACTGGAGGAGGTCATACCCAAAGCTAATTTGCAAGGATTTATAACATGTAAAAGCTAGATCAATCAGAAACAGATATATTTAAATGCCAGAGGAGAATCTCCACCATAACTCACTGACTGATTAAATCCCTAATAAACTCAGTCTTAAAATCAGACCATCACACTTCTTTAAAAAAATGATATAGGGATTTTCCCTGTCCAAAATAGGACTGCAGGATTTGCATGACTAAAATGAGTTTCTATTTATACTTCCTCAAGCATGCTTCTTGGTTTGATGACAAGCTGCAAGAACACTGCTGTACTGCAAGAGCAAGTTCTGGTTTTAGGAAAGACACAGACTTCAGTATGGATTTGGATTATATGCACTCGGTGCACTGAGATGCTGATGCTTCTCTCCTGTGTACAGGGACAAACAGTAACCACAAACTGGGAGCAGCACCACCGTCATCGGGGGAATTGCACTAATTTAACAATAATGCAGAAGGAATTCAGCATTCGGTCCATTTGTGATCAATAATCAGACTGTACACAAAGTAAAAAGCTCCTAGGAAGCAAGATTTATACTGAAGTTAAGAGCGGAAAGCGCTTGAAAATTGTCAACTGGATGTTCATATCTCAAAGGCTTCTCAGGCTGTGAGCTACCCCTTCTCAGTATTTTCTAATGTGATATTAAAGATGGTGACATACGGACGGTTTTCTAAAGACCAGAAAACCTGCTTACAGTAAATATTTGTGCTCTCTAATTATGAACGTTACCCTTCCAGTAATAACATAGAACGCAAGGAGTTAATAATTATGAGCAAACCTTGTTATTACATTATTAGACTCTGTAATTTTGGAGACTCTAATGAGCTGATCAGAAGCAAACGGTGCAAGCAGACAGCGGGAGAAGGGCAGGGCAGCAGCATCGGCACCACTCGGGGCATGCCAGGTCACTATTATTAGCCACCAGATAAGACCTGCCGGAGATTCTTTCCTCAATAAGAGCATTCTAAAAATAAAACACTTTACTGCCCTTGAAAATTAAAGCAGCACTTTGCATGTCCATTTCATTCCTCACAATACTTAAAACTACTAGATGAAATGAAAATAAACTAAGCTTTGCACTACAGATGCAATTCGGGGATTAGCTGAGGGCTGGAGAAGGCAGATAATTCCTCTTGTGCGGTGGAAGGAGAGTGCTGTAAATAGTCCCAGAAGGCATTTTCCCTGGTGCATCCTTGGGGAGAGGAGAGCAGGGCAGTGCTGGGCCTGCCCCACAGCAGGGAGGCTTTGCTGGAGCAAGGCTCTGCAGAGCAGCGTGTGTGCAAGGGCTACTAAAGCATGCTCAAGCTTTACTAGGGCTTGCAAGGGGACGGAATACAGCCTCTTCGTTCACTGCAAGAACTACTCCCCAAGTTGTGCCAATAGTAGTCTTAAAGGGCACCGATCTCTCTTTGCCAAGTCTGTCATGGTATTTGCGCAGTGTATGCTACACTGAGGAGGCTGGGGAAGGCACAACAAAGGGTTGTAAGACAACTTCAGCAGACGTCTTTGAGATCAGGTCTTTTATCAGCAGCATTTGATTTGGTCAACTATAGCACTACAATACCTCTGCTCTCTCTTTCCTGGAAGCACAAGAAGCTGTACTTTGAAAGCTGCCCCGATTCATTCAGCTCCATTAAAGAATTCTAACACACTAAGCCATTAGTCGGGAAACTGAGGAACAGCAAAGCAAAGACGTTTAAGGCTGAACTAGTAAGAAAACCCTGATTTCTGCCATCCTTTGTTTCAAGACAATTCTTTCTGGCCTTAACCTAGTACATGCTTTGAAAAAATTTTATTATGTACTTAGGGAAAAAAAGAATGGCTGTGCCCAGAATGAATAATTATTGTTTTTAATACTATTGTCGAATAGTTCATCTCCTTTCCATCCATGACAAACAATGTGCAACTCTGTGAAGGTTTGCTAGCTCAAACACATTAATAATTAAAAATAAACAGTCTATTTTGTAATCCATCTTTTGCTTACAGTAAGCATTAGATACAGAGATATTATTGTTTCAGTCCCCAGTGGCTTGTTAAGCCTACTTGAACGCCTTGAGAGATGGAGACAAAGAGAGAACATAATTTGCTACGTGGTGGGAGACTTTTAAGCCTTTCGAGTCTCTCCGGCTGCAGCCTGTAGATGCAGGAATTTCGACACAGGGCAGTAAGGACAACCTTCCCTCTGCTCATGGCATCTCTGACCCCATGGGCTGGAGCATGTTGGTGGGATGACCCAGCCCCAGGATGAGGAGCAGTGGCGGGTCCCGTGCCTCCACAGGCGTGGGAAGGGATGCTCATCCAGCTCGTCTCTAATGGCTTGGTCCCCTCCCTTGCCCCAAGGATGGGAAATGGTGGTCTCAGGCAGTGGTGAGGAAGCCTCCTCCTTCCCTCTCTTTACCTCCCAAGATTAAAAGACCAGGGGAAAGAGGGAGGGCTGATTTGCAGTATTAGAAAGGGGATTTGAGTATATGTCTTGGGTTTTTTGTGAGAAGTACTCAAGTAAGATCCACCACAGCTTAAAATTAGCAGCTAGGACTCTGCTGGGGCGAGCCGGGGAGATGGACTCGACACAGAAACGAGGAGCGGCACTGCACACTGGGCCACAAAAAAACCCAGCCATAAGCATTAGGTGGTAATGCTGACCCTAAACTCCAAAAAAGCAACACCAAACAGGACACAGCATGAGCGTCCTTAGCTGCTACCCCATCTGCCTGCACGTGTGACTGCCTGGGCACAAGAATGCTTCAGCATCAAATGCTGATAAGGAAAGAAGGGAAGAGGTCCAACAGAATTAATTTCTGAAAGAAAACCCTTCTAATTTAGTTATTTTTATAAAAGAAAAATGAGGAGGAATACTATTTATAATACTGTAATCATTAAAACGCCTTGACAGCAAGTTTTTTACAGGAGGTACCAATGAAGCCTACCTGTGTGTGTGTGTTTGATGCAGCTCAGGTAGCACAAGCAGTTAACAGTACTGCAAATGCTTCAGGGAAATGTAAGAGTTTAGGGAGAGGAGAGAAAACTCCTTTATTATCAGCTGTGCTGGCCCTTATCTTAACCCAAAGTGAAATCCATCCAAAGCATATATTTAGCAACGCTGTATTAATTCTGCCCTAGCACCACTTGCTTGTATGTTATATCATCCGTCCTTTCCCCTTCCTTCATCTGTTCAGTCTCCTTTAGTTTATCTTCCCTCCAATGCAAGGTTTGTCATTCAGCAGCAATGATACAGTGCCTGGGAAAACAGGACCTGACCCCGACTTGAGCCCATGGAGGTGCCATCATAACCAACGTAAACATAACCCAAGCACTGCCAGTCCTTGAGGGACCACAAATTGATCACCTTGGTGGCCAACAAGTGTGGGTAAGAAACCGCCAAGTGGCCACCAGGGATGTCATACATGGCACCACATGGAAAAATATTTGTGTTACTCCGCTGGATTTTGATTTAAGCTCTCGTTATGCGAGGGCTGTGGTCACGGGAGAGCTCTTTGGGGACCCGCAGGGTGGGATGTGCCCATGACAAACACAGCAGGAATTTGTCTAATCTGTTCTTACCAACCACCAGCAGAAGAGATGCCACCTCCTTCCTTCATTCCTTCACTAAACTCAACATCCAAGATCATTTCCACAGTTCTATTTTCTGCAAATTAATCTTATCTTTGGCCTGGAGGACAGGGAAAATAACAATCACCAGCTCTCCCTGTATTTGGCATAATCCTGTGTAGTAACACTGACCCTTGGCATGAGACCTCCTATCCATCCACCACATTAACTCCTGCCACCTTCCTCTCTAACAGATGCTCTATTTTCATCACCACTTCCAGCTGGAACTTCAGTATCACCCCCGAAATCCCGCCCTAGTATACCAACCTATCTGCTCCCTTCAGTGCCTTGTGTGATCTTCCTCTAAATGAGATCAAGGAACTGAATAGGCTTAAAACTAACAGTTTCTTGCAGCCTTTGGCTAGTTTTTAGGATTGGTTCACTGATGACCCAAGCAGTGTTGAGCCAGAACGAACATCCCAACTGGGCAGCAGGGACTTTTTCTGTCATATCTTTGGTTTCTGATGGCTCAAAGTGACTTATCAGCTCCAGCCACAAATTTCAGCTCTAGTTACCACCCCACTGTCACTAAATCCTTCTTTTCATTGTAATTTTTTTTCCATTTCCTTAATAACTATAATCCTCAACAATAAATTTATGATTTCTTAACCTTGAAGAGTGAGGCAGGAAAAAAAAATGCCTCTTACAAAGTCTTGTGCAAGGCAGAGTTGGAAGAAAACATCAGCAACAAGAAATGTCACTGATGGCATCAAGACTTCTTAGTGAAAAAGCAATTACTATAGACACTGTATACAAAGCTTGAACCAAACAGACAAAAATCTCTTCACTTTTCTCATGTTTCTTGCTAAACAGGGCAAATACAGGTTTTTCTAAAGCTCACTTGATTAAAATGCTCTAATTCCGTATAAATAGGAGATCTATGTTCTGCATCTCAGTTTCCAATCTCAAATCCAAACTTCACCTGTCAGTTGTAGGCAAAATATTAAGGAAAATATATATAAAGGGTACTACTTAGCCATAAAGGATTTTGAGCTAGGAAATCTCTTTTATGTTCTCTGAAATATTTGCTGGGAAATTGTCAGTTTTTACAAAGTGGGGTCATATGTGGGGCTGGGGGTGTTTGTGCTAGTTAACTCCTGAAAGGTGCTTCAGGAAAAGAGGCTATTGAAAAAAAAAAAAAAAAAAAAAAAAGCCTTTGGAGCACCGTTTGAGGTCTGCTGGTATACATGAGTGATTTAAATGGTCCTCACTGTTAGAAGTATTTATTCCAATAATTCTTTAGTCAGTAAATTTGTGGTTTGGGATTAAACACAGCAATATATTTTTAGGGCCCTGATTAATGGTCACAGGTGGATTTAGCTCCAGTGGTTACAGTGGTTTCTTTCCCCTGCTGTCAATTTTGGTTTATTTTAAAACTCCAGTCACTGAGTGCGGGCACATCACCCCTCTGACCAGCCACAGCACTGTGGGCAACCTCCTGGCGGGGCTGGGGGACACCGAGCTGGGCAGCTGCTCCCCTGGCTTCAACTAAACCCAATTCCAACCCGCTGTCACAGCTCTTTATTTTGCTTAGACAGTAAATTTGGTTGGGTTCTGGTTGATTTGATTTAATTATTTTTTTTTCTAATATCTTGATTCAAAGATAAAAATTCGCACGCAATGGCAGAATTCACAGGGAAAAGAATTACAAATATTGGGAGATCTTACAGCCAGCTAACGCAAAGCTGGTGCCTTGAAAACGCGATTTAACTGCCCTGGCAGGTACGAGAGAGGAACCCCTGTGTACAGCCCGAGCCTGACCCGGCCCTGGAGCCCCTGGAGCCCCCGGGGTCGGGTACAAGAGGGGCAGCAGAAGAAACTCCTTTTGCTGCCGGTTCCTCACACCCACCCGGCTACGAAGCCCCCTTTGGCAAGGAAAGGGCGGGGGGGGACCACAGCCTCGGCACGGCGGGGGAAGGATGCCTGGCAGCGCCTGCTTTGCTCTCCAACCTCCCCATCACCTTCCTCCTAGTTCGGGAGGAAAGTTTTGGTGGGTCCCGCTCGGAGCACCGGGGGGCTGCAGCAGGCAAGGGCAGGGCGAGGTCTGCATCCCCCACCAGCCGCTCAAGACCCCCTCCAACCCTTTTCCACCCCTTTCCCCCCCCCTCCCCTTACCCCGAGAAGGGGGCACCTCCCAC